TGTGCTTTACACAATTGATGCATGCATGGATTTTGAAAAGAGTTGTTTGAGCCCCTAATAAAATGATTAAAAAAAACCCACAAACATACAAACAAAAAAGTTACGTTCATGACAATATTTTTAATATACAAAAACATTAGCTCCCGATTGTGATAAGAATTGTATGAGCCCCTAATAAAACGATTAAAAAAAGAATAAAATAATACTACACATAATTTTAAAGGAATAAAATTGGAAAATGGAAGTAAAGTGAAAATTTAAAAAAAAAAAAATAAAAATAAAAAAAACACATTAGCTCCCATGAACCGGAGATATACATAAACCATAGGTATATGAGTGGATTCGGGGCTCACACTTAATTCTAGCCCTCATCTAAAAACAACTAGTTCTTATGGCACAGTCCTAGTCAGTACTTGCCTTCATGAAACAATGAAAATACAGGTATTATAGCAAAGTGTGTTGAAGAAACAAGATAGTGTCTATCAGAAAGAATAGTGTCTGCAGTCTTAAAGGGTTGTCTTACAACAAGCAGCCATCTAAGTGAAGTGTCAATTGACCACAAGGAAGAAGTGTGGGAAACAGAACTGGGAAGAGAGTGTATGGGACAAATTCTCTGTGCATATACGTTAAGGCTACTGGCAGGCTAGGGCTCCAATGGAGGGAGACCTTCATGTTTAGAGCATGGAGATGTGTTCCAGACATATTATCCTAAGTAAAAGTTATTCCCCACGATGCCTCCCCCCAACCCCTAGCAATAATGCCAATGTTAAGGTGCTACTTGCAAGCACATGGTTGCTACTATATATGCTTGAAGGTCAACTACTTGAAGGCATTTGCCTGAAGGTTGTCTGCCATGACGAGCAATCGGACCCTTCACTCCCTTCTGATCAGGATCATAGATTGTTCCCCTGGAGAAGAGCTCAGAGACACCAAAGGTCAAGCCAGCTCAGAGACAACCAAGGTTAGGCTGCCATCTTGACTCTCAACCTGTGGGTCGAGATCCCTTTGGGGACCGAATGACCCTTTCACAGGGGTCACTTAAGACCATTGGAAAACACATATTTCTGATGGTCTTAGGAACCAGGACACTGTTCCTCTCTCTGTCTACAGGCAGGTCCACCCACATGCAGATATGCTCACCTACCCATGCTACAACATGCTTCAAGACAAAATTTCATTTAATTGTAATTAGAAATAAATATTTCACAATATATAATTACATATTGTTTTTGTGATGACTCACTATGCTTTATGTTCAATTTGTAACAATCAAAATACATCCTGCATATCAGATATCTACATTATGATTCATCACAGTAGCAAAATTAGTTATGAAGTAGCAACGAAAATAATTTTATGGGGGGGAGGGGTCACCACAACATGAGGAACTGTATTAAAGGGTCACGGCATTAAGAGGGTTGAGAACCACTGCTCTAGAATCCACCCTTGTTACATATGTACCTTCCTGTCACATGTATGCCTCTAGTACCTCCCCTTCCTATTGCGTGTTTACCCCTAGCTCGTCCTATTCATTTTAGGTGTCTCTCACTAATACACCCCATCCCTGTTATGTATGTGCTTACTGTAGGCTTGCATGCCCAAGATTACATAAGCTTGTGAGAAAATACATTACTGCCTCTTTCTGGTTCCAGTCCCCATAGAAGAGGGGAGCCCTTGCATGCCTTATCTCTTGTCTCTTTAATTTACCCCTCAATTACACAACGCCCCTTAGGACCCATTTGGTTGTAGTAAGGCTGGTCCCCCACAAAGAAGCACACCAGCCTGTGTGATCCAAGAATTGAAAAATAATAAAATCCAAATTCCAAGGATTGGTATCAGAGCTAAATTATGAACGCGTGGTTTACAGAAGGTTCTGGGTTAAGGTAGAAGCCCAAACTCCATTTCCAGAGCCCCATATGGATTAAGTCTCTAGTGAATCCTTCCTGACCATACTCCAAGGATGCAAGTATCAGACATTTTATTTCTTTTTTTAAATGAGGTTTCTCCATTTTGCTCTGTCATTGTCATTGAGGTTTTGTTTGTTTGCTTCCTGTTTGTTTTTGATATGATTTTCTGGTTATAAAATCCAGGATAATTAAATCTATAGAGACAGTAACTGAATTAATAATTACCTAGGGCAATGGCAGAGGGGGTGGGGGAAATGAGAAGCTGACAACAGGGAGTAAGAGAAGAAAATGTCCTAAAATTGATTGTGATGATTGTACAACTCTTCTTAATCTGGCTAAACGATTAAATTGTAAATGTGGAGGATATGCCAATAAAACTTTATTTTAAAAATTACCTTCTTTAAATGTCCCAATCAAATTGATCTTCCCATGTAATTATAACTACTTCCTGTAAAAATCAATTTCCTCTATGTCAGCTGACTCCTGCTCATCCCATGTGATTAGAATAGAACTGCGCTCCACTGAGCTTTCGACTGATTTTTTGGAATTAAATTGCCAGGCCTTTCTTCTGAACTCAACATTTCAACAAAAAGTTGTCAACCAAGTGCATTCACTGTTTGCACCACCCCGGGGCTTCCTTCATCCAATGATCAAATGGCATGTTGGCATCATGTTTGTCATCTACTAAAGCTCCTGTCAGACATTCGATGTTAAGAAACGACAGAAACTTCAAGAATGACCATTCTAATTATTATTCACCTAGAAAGTGCATATGCTGCATTTAACTCTCTCAATCTTTGGACCTGTTTTTTGCATTTTACTAAAAACAAATTTGCTCCACAGGAATGAAAAATTTTGAAAAATTACCCTTGGGTTCCTATTTTAAATACTTTGCGATATACTAAGAAAATATGTTCTCACGTTTTTTAAAAGGAAGTAATCTAGTTAAATGAAAAAAAAAAGAATCATATTTTTGGAATTGATTTTACACAAGGTATGGTTCCAGTCTCATATTTTAAAATCCCCCTGGTACAAGATTGTTGGATTTTTTTCTTTCACAGTGTCCTCTCAGTTAAAAGGGCCTCCTGCAGAGGCTTGGCGGCCCCAGTTATGTGCCAGCACCTGCTCAGGTGCTGCAGCTTAACCCCAGTTGTCACAGGCAGGCATTGCGGGTTCAAACGCAGCGTGTAAGATTTTTAAATTGTTTTTGAAAGACTATTACACCGAAATGTCTGCAAACTTAAATATATCTTGGAACAAAATTTGGAAAACTCATAATGCTCCTAACAATATTTAATGACCACAAAGTAGGGTGAAATGGACTGAGATAAGGAAAACAATTTTCACCATTCGTACTACTACACATACCACATTAGAAACCGCAAAATAATTAATGAGGAATGACAGATGTTTCTGCATATGTATTAATGTGTTGTAAATATATTCATGGACATAGTAGAGTATAAAGGGGAAAAGCTAAGAAAACAACTGAGCCATAACCAGGGTCAGAGCCTAGATGGTCCCAAAGTCATTTGTGTAAAAAGACAATGTTCTACCTCCTGCAAAGGAGGTCTTACAGGTTTACAAACAGCCATCTACGCACCTATAGGTCTTGCCCCATCTAGAGCAAGCAACAGTAAAGAAAAAGAAAAGATGCAAGGAAACCATGATGCCACAGGAACCCGCCTCCAGTACCGTGAAACCAGAAGAACTAGATGGTGCCTGGCTACCACAGCTGACCACTATAAGAGGTCACAATGAAAGGTCCTGGATAGAGTGGGAGACACATGTAGAACACAAGTCAGGGAAATCAAAGACTAGCTTACTGGCCTGAGAGAGATCGGTAGTACTCCCAAGACTATGACCCGTAGACACCCTTCAGACCTGGAAATGCACTTACTCTCCTGGGTCATTTTTTAGCCAAACCATAAGATCAGCCTATAAAGAGAGCAGGAACCCCAGGAAGGTAAGCACTCACTCCTTATAATCAACCTACGGAATCAAAAGGGCAACATTTGCCCAGGTTTAAAGCTCCGAAGTCAAGACGGGATAGGGAAGAACAGAAAAGGGGAAGTGGAAGAGTGCTGTGAGACTGTGGGGCTTGTAATTAGTGTCACAAAGTGTCCGGGGCCATTCGGCTCAATCTTCACTATATCTTGTCAGAGCTTGCAGTACTTTTCCATTCCCACCTAGGTGACATAGTTTTGTGATTAGGTTATCTCCCCTCTGAATAGCCTGTCCTTGGGACGGGCTGAGTTTAGCCTTCAAGTCTGCCTAGAAACAGATAAGGGGGTTTCCATACATGGTGTGACAAAGCACCTATATCCTGCTTCCCCTTGATTGGGTAGGAGATTGTCTTCACCCTATTTACTTATCTAGTGCCTGCACCTGATTTGCATAAAATGACTTCACTTCACGGACCTGGTTGAAGACTAAACCGTTACTGAGGGCACGTTCCCCCGGACTCCTTGATTGGTCTATTACCAAAGTGGCCTAATTTACATGTGCGACGGGTGTTTCCCCTCCCCTGGCCTATATAGGCTGCAACCTTTCACTCAATAAAGAGAGACTTGATCAGAATACTGTCTTGTCTCCATTTCTCGTGTTTATTGTTCCCCTCAATTCCCACTCCCTCCTCCAGGGTCTGCGTTGACGTTCCTGCAGGTCGGGGACAACAAAGCAAATTGGATGTGAAGCGTTGAATGGAAAACCAACTTTCACCCAGATCACAATAAAAAAGTCTTAAATAATAGTAATAATGAAAGCCCATTCTCACTACTATTAACTCGATGCTGACTCATTGCAGCTCTATAGGAAAAGGTAGAACTGTCCCCTATGAGTTTCTAAGACCATAACTCTTGACTAGAGTAGAAAACCCCATCTTGCTCCAGGACAGCAACTGGCGGTTTTGAACTGTTGACTGTGCAGTTAGCAACCCAACACATAACCACTACACTAGATGAAGAAAATTTAACTTAACTTTTTAATATTCCTTCCGATCCAATACAAATCTAGAAAATCACAAGCATACACTAAATTAGAATGAAGGGTAGGTAGAATGTCAGGCTTATGTTAAAGCATATATATAACTTTTTATCATTAGATAGGAAGTCACTTTACCCCCTTACATGTATTGAGGTCTTCGGATCTGGACCTTGGGTAATATCCAGTTGTCAGGTGGGACATCACCCCAGGAATGCTCACTCATTCTAGTATTATTTCTAGAATCCCCTTTCATGTTTTTTAATTTGGGCTGCTGTTGGGAGCATATGTCAATGCAAGTTTCTACATGTACAATTAATAGCATTTGGGTTGTACAACCATTCTTCCCTTTTCGGAGTTCAATCTCTCCTATAAGCATAAGCTCCCTCCCTTCATACAGTACCTAACTGATCTTTCAAATTGCTGTTGTCAATGTGATACCATGTAGGTAGCTCTTAAAAGAGGACAGGGCTTTAGGCAGATATTCTTGCCTAGTTATACCAGATTATTGTTTGGGTTTAAGAAGATTTCAGGTGATATTCTTGGTTTAAGACTTCAAGATGACCTGGGGCAATAGTTTCAGGGGTACATCCAGCCCCCAGGGTTTCATAAACTCTGACTTGCATGACAATTTGACATTTGGTTCTGCAGTTTCCCTCTTTGGATCAGGATTCTTCTATAGCATCTTTGATCAGCATGTTCAGGAGTGGTAGCTGGGCACCATTCATTGTGGTTGGAAAGGGGCCAGCCCCCCACCACTAATCACGGGTTTGATAGGCACAATTGCATAGTTGAGTTATATAAATATTATATTAGTCATATAGAGCATGAGAGATAAAAGAGATTGAAATAATGGAGTCAGACATATTTCATAGTAGCATGCTCACCTCAGTCCTGCTTGGTGGTCCACGTGGAGAGGGGGGGAGGGGAAGGAGGACAAGGGGAAAGGGAACAGGGGAGTGAGAGGAGGGAGGGCAGACAAGAGGCCAAGAAGGGAGCCTGAGAGAGAGACTCTTTATTGCTAACCAAGGCCTATTTACCTTTTTGGGGGAGAACAATCCCACTAATTACAGGTAAAGACATACGTCACAGGAAGGGGGTTGCACTATAGGTTATACAGCAATGAGAGGGGGGCAATCTAGGGATATACACACAATAGGAAGAGGAGGGATTGGGGGTATACATGTGAAAAGATGAGTGGATCCTAGATTCAGGATGGCAGTCTAATTTTGGATGTCACTGAGTCTGATCTGTTCTCTGGATCTCCTTAGAAACAATTATCAGTAGGGTGTGAACCCCATCTACAGGAACCAAGCTAATGGTCGCCAGCCCTCAGGGAGAAGCAGCCCATTGTCCCCAGCAGCAGAGAGCAGGCCCACCTGTGGTGGGAGGAGATAGCAGTCTGGCAGCTCACTGCCTCAAGGGAAGTAACTGTCACCATTAGCTGCGAGCAGTGTCCTATGTCTAACATATTTGGGGGAGATGACTTGGGAGAAATCTTTGTTTCCCACAATTCATGGTAAAAAAAGGCAGGTATTCATGGAGGCAATTAGCCACCCAGTCCATTTCCTCCTTTTTACTAACAGCTGCTTCCTTCTCCTTATCAGACCCTTTTTTTATAGAATACTTTCTTCTTCTTTGTGAAGCCCCCACTCCCACCAAAACTGTTTCTCCTCTCCCTTGACCCTGTGCCTTCACAAGTTTTACCAAGCAACCATGAGGCCTGGAGGTTGCCCTTGATGCCCTCCTTGCCCGTAGAAACACTTAGGTGTTTTCAGAGGAGAAAGCATTTCCAAACTGCTTTCCTTTGCTCGTTTGCTGCCAGATCCATCCATCGTGTTTGCCTCTATTGCTTCCACCAGTAAAAGCACAGCACAAATGAATGAGATCATTCATCCCACGTTTAGAGTCTTTAGACTGTGCCTCATTACCAAAAATTACCACTAATAGATGAGGCCAATTTATGGTGCCTTCAAGCCCAAAGAATCTTATGAAGATTTAGTCTTGGGACCCACCAGGATAGTTCTATATTGTCCTACAGGTCTCTAAGAATCAACTCAATGGCAGTGAGTGACTGACAAGCCCAAAGCACAATTGTGAGTCTCACAACTATGGTCTAGGAGTCTCATTGCTGAACACAAGAAGACTTGATGTTGCTTAAAGACAAAGATTCTGTCTTGTACATCTTTGTGCCTTTACTATATCCAGCAAGCTGAGGTGTTCTTCCACATGTCTCAGCTTGTTAAAGAACTCATTTAAGAAGTTCCAAGTTCTGTGTCTGGGATAACTTGACTGGTGATATACATTTGAGAGTTTTTACAGAAGAATTGCCTCATGGTGTTGACAGGAATTACTGTACCAGATGATGTTTGAAAAATTATCAGCATTTGGGTTTTAGTACAGCTTTTATACTCAGTATTCTAGTTAAGAAAAATAAAGTAATTAGGGAAGAACATGTCTTCCCTCCCTCCCCACTTTTCAAAAACACATATTACAGCACTCTCCTTGAAGAAGTTTTGGTAACAAAAAAGCTCTTCAACTTGAGCCGACTGCCTTCTCTCTGCATCCTCCTGTCTCTTGAGTCTTCTTTTTAAACTTTTAATTAAAGGATTATAAAGCAAATCAGTTTTCCATTCAGCAATTCATGTACATTTTCTTCTGTGTCATAGATTATAATCCTCACAAAGTAGCATTACCAATCCCACTTCCTCCTTGGCTCCTGTTTCTGTCTTTCTTTCCTAACCTTTCAGAACACTGCCCTTGGGTAAATGCTGCCTTTTAAAATCTTAAATGGTTGATTATTCTAAGGTATGTGAACCTCCCTAGTGTTATTGTTGCCCTTAAAGACTTATTACCTATTGTTTGGCTAAAATTGAGCTAAGGCAGAGAATTTAGTTAGCTTGAAGGATGTCTAAAGGCTATATATATAATCTTGGGGATTCTACCTAACAGTCTCTATTTGATCAGCAAGCCTGGTGGTTTGTATTATTTTGAGTTTTGTTCCACATTTTTCTCCCATCCTATCCAGGACTTTCTAATGTGATGTCTTTGAGAGCTAATCATGGTAGCTGGGCACCCTCTAGTTTTTCTGACATCAAGTTCCTGGAGGCTGATGTTCACATGGTCCATTTATCCACAGGAAGAATTGTTTTCAAGCACCTTTTTTTTGTAACATTCTTTCCTCCAAATGGGGGCCCTGGACTTT